AACCCACAAATATGCACATTCACACCCCCCTCCAAACTGCTACTTTATTGCATTCACTACACACACACACATACATACATACACATGTGTATGTGTGTGTGTGTTGCTTATTAGAGAAATCAATATATATCACCTTGATTTCTCTAATAAACAACATTTCAATTTGTCCTCAATCCCACATTCTAATGTCCAACTTTTTGGCTTCCCACATATATAAAGCTGACTCCTGTGTGAAACTGATGCTAGACAGATCTTTGATCGGACAAGGCTTTCTCTGACCTTTTGCTCTTGCCAAACCCTTTTCTAGGATGTCTGGCTTCACACTGCTCATGCTGCTCTTTGTGGGAAGCACCATTACTTCTGGTAAGTGGTCATCATTTCTCAGTTTATTGAACTAATATTACAACTTCTTGCTAAAAATGCAATGTGGCCAAATCCCAACAGTGTTGGCCACAGAAACTGGCTTTTGGGAATATAGAGAAATGCCATTGTATGCATCACATTCAACTCTTTATTGCCTTTTTCAGCATACATTCTGCCGCTCTCAGACTCTTCCTATTCTGGTGAGTTTGGAGGAAGCGGAGGGAAACGCTTTTCGCAAGCCGGAAACCAGATGGATGGACCAATCACTGCCTTTAGGATCCGGACAAATCAATACTACATTGTGGGGTGAGTGTGTGATGACCCTATGGCATCTTGGGAGAAGTAGCTTTTAAAAAATCTGCTAGAGATATCTAGGCCACTTCCTTAAACTACAATACTTGAACTCTCAAGTTAATGTCCAAATGGTTTCCCAAACTACAACTTCCAGAATTCTTGATGTGGAGAAAGTGGAAGGAGGTAAATTTTGTTTCCTCTCTCATGTTCTTACAGTAAGCCAAGCTGAATAATTGAAGGTGGAAGGCATATAAAAGACATAAACGCATAGCTTCAGTACCTGGATAGCTCCCAAACCCAGAGCAGCTATGCAATAAAACAGAGAGGTCAAATGCTCCACATCAGTATTTCTC